TGTTTGTTTGTTGTCAAACACAAAGCTACACAATTGGTCATCTGTAATGTGCTCACCGATGGTATCGAAACCCGATTTTTTCGTTATAAGCTCTCAGACTTACCGCCGAGCCACCGCGGGTACCAGTAAAACAGTAAAAACGTCCTCCTACTTTAAAAAAAATTATGTTGAGATCTTTTTTTAATGTGAAAAATATTCTTGTTACTGCTGAACAAAAGTATCTGAATTTTAATTAGGTGACGCGACGATACTGATATTTTAACTTTCTTTATAATGATGATAGATCCATCCGAAAATCTGTTTAACCAGAATTGTTATTTAGCGCTCTAAATGATTCTGCATATTGACATTTTTTTCAAAATTTTAATTCAAACTAATAATGAGCAGTAATAGTATTCGTACTGTATTGTTATTAGAGGTGGGAAGTGTATTTTGTATTTGTATTTTTTATTTCTGACAAAGTTACTTAAGGCTATCTGCCGACGTCCCCAATTTTGAACTACTGACGAAAGTGAAGATAGCTATTCAGCAGCATCTTACCACCCACCATCCGCGCTAAAAATAGACTGCTACTCTTATAACGCACCCACAGCTTATAGTAGGGGGATATTTTGTGGTATCGCATGCATTTGAACTCAGCTCGCCTGCTCGAGTACCCCGGTGAGACCACGATAAATTTACCGACTTCCACCACTAAAATCGAAGGTTCGATTCCTGCGGTGAACAGAGCAGATAGCCCAACATGGCTTTGTTCTAAAATAAAATAAAAATAGCCAGCTCGAAAAACAAACCGTGCCCATTGGGAAAGTGAAGTTTCTTTTACGCATTCTTTGCAAAAAACTGGGACCGAAATAAAGAGACCATGATGTCACTGGTTTTGAATTACAAAACAAAAATTATAATTAATTTATCACCTCCCTTTAGCTTTAAATAAATAGTGTTTGCTATGATGGTACAATTGCATTTTATGATTTTATGACAGATTCTATGTTTTAGATGAAATTGTATTGTACATTTGACATCTATTTTACATTTTATTGTTTTGTTTTATTTTAGCACAAAGATGCACAATAGACTATCTTCGCTGCAATATATTAACGAATTTTCAGTAAAGTATGTGATGAAAAGATGTATGTTCAACTATTATATCAAGGTTAATAACACTGTTGACTAACTGCCTTCCAACTAATATGTCATTATTATTATTATTAGGGACAGCTAGCGCAGATATCCCTTTTGTAGTTTTGTATGAATTTATCCGAAACAAACAACCAAATTATTTGGGATAATAGAACAACAGACAATAGAAGAGGAAAATAAACAAAGTACCATGTGCCTTTTTCTGAAGGCAGATACTTATATTAATGAAAAATAACGGTAGAAATTGCAATGTACTTGTTGTTTTATCATTTTATTATTTCAGTTGCATGTTCAAACAAAGTCAACAATGTCTTTCATTAGTTCTCTCTCACCTGATGTTTTGATTTGTTTTCTCGGCGCGTAGTTACTGATCATCAAGATTCAGTATAGTTCGATTAGGAACATTCACGATTCGACGCTCTACTTACTTCCTAGAATAACTCGGAAGATGGGCGGATCTATAAAATAATTCTACTGGATCTCTAGGTATGCCCTCTTATGAACCAAGCTTGATTTGATATATTCAAGTGGTCGATAAAAAGATACACTCGCAGGCACGTGAAGAAGTTGATTGTTATAAGCATTACGTCATTTTGCTACTTGAGATGCAAAGCGAATATTTCAAAACAAACGAAGACTGGGGAAACAGACAAAAGAAGGGAAAAATTTTTTTAGGGGACTATAGAGCCACTTAAGGGGCCACTTGCGCGTTATGAAGCTTTTTTTTTTTAGGCAAAAAAGAAGGAATATTGTGTTCATAACAAAAGAGACTCCGCCAGATATAAACTAGGTAATGCGTAGACAGTTGAAAAGGAAAATAACGGTCAGTGAATTTCTCTATTTCTTACCAACACAGGAATCAAGTATTCACGTCTCGGGGACTTGGAATAGCAAATTGATACGTATTCTGTTTTTGTTGGACACCTTCTTTGGCACGTAACGTTATAACTTTATCATTCTGCCTTATCTTTCCTTTCTCTCCACTTTGAACCAAGCCCAATATCACTTTGAATTTCAAAGTTGTTGCGTCGAATATTCTTGTATTGCAACATTCTGCTTTAGTTGCTATGCTTGAGTAATTATTGTGCTTTTCTCATTGATTATTTTCTTTACATTGTTTTGTTAACAAAAAGTGTCACTGATATTGGAGATATTGTTCTGATGTTCTTCAAGTATCATGCCTTCCCTAAGAATTCTGCAGCGAGAATTTATACAATTAACGTCCTGATCCCTGATGATCCTGCCAAGAGACTGCGAAAAATAATACTATTTAAGTTGTTAGCTAATTTATTTCCTGTCTCTGTTGGTAAAAAGAAAGAAAGAGAGTCTTTATAAAAATTATTTCTCGAAGCATTTACATCAACAAATTGAATAAAAAAATCGCCAGGAAATATGGAGAGCAGAATCCCAGATTTCTCTTTTGGTCTTCATATTTTTAATATCTTTAGCAGAATAGTATTTCTTTGTAGCTAAGCACAAAGCTACACAAAGGGCTACTTGTGCTGTGCCAACCACGGATATCTAAACCCGATTTTCAGCGTTATAAGCCCACAGATTTACCGCTGAGCCACTGAGCGGCTTTAAGAAAACTACAAAAGAATCAGATATCTAGTTCATATCTAGGATATACTAAGAGTATTTTTCTTCTGTTTCAATTCATACAGTAAATATATTCTTTTTTTTGTTGTTGTTGTTGTTATTTGTAAAATTAAGATAACAATTATAAAATAATCCGATTTTTGTGAACTAAAGCTTAAGTTAATAACATATCTCAGGAGAACTTAGCTAAGCAATCCTATTGTCATTTGGGCGAGGACAATTCATTTTCAATACTCATCTGTATAAGATTGTCCTCGTTTTTTTAATCTATCTTCACAGTTTCTACTGCTAATGCATTACATACGTGGTGGATGTCTCTAAACTCTGAATAAGATGCTTAATTATGGGAATTTTCAGATCAAAATCTGGAAATGAGAAGATATGTTTAGACTTGAATTAATGCTGTTGTTTTGTTTTTTCTTCTTTTTAATTGTTTTGTTCTTGTTTTATTTCGAGCTTAACATCAAACAATCTCTGTTCATGATGACACTTCTGGTTTAAATGAATTTTGTTCTTATGCTTTTATTTTGTTTTGGAGTTTTATTATTTTTCTTGGATCGCACTATACCTACCTAATTAAACCTCTATTCTTCATTTCTAAACCCTCTATAATAAAATAGAACAGTATATATATCGTCAATCTTCAATGCCGCTCAACTAAAGGTCTATACTGGATATTTAAGTATATTTTCTATTAGGGAAACGCGAATTATGATAAACACAATATAAGCTGGATGAAGAATACTTTAAAATTATTGAATCAAATGAGCTTGATTTTTCTAACGTATCTAAAGGAAGTTTAAATGCCTAACGTGACTCATATGTGTGAAAGGTTTTTCCAAATATTTGCATATTAAAAGTTTTAAACAACTGCGGTTGAAGTGTTGGCAATCACGTAAATCGTCGAACCTAACAAAAACTAAAGCAGTATTAGATACAGAAATACTTAAAATAATTTTTGTTATGTAGAGTATTAAATTAGAGTTTGCAATTTTACTTCGATCCACGTGAAGCTATTCTAGAAAAAGAGGCAAAGACTTTCTCATCATCAACTAGCTTTATTAGCCTTATAGGTAACAATGAGCTGAAGGTAGAAAATGTCAGACCGAAGTTACTATCTTTTTTGGATTGATGTATGTATGTTTGTTTTGAATTTCGCGCAAAGCTACAAGAGGGCTATCTGCGCTAGCCGTCCCTAATTTAGCAGTTTAAGATTAGAGAGAAGGAATTGACCATCACATTATAACGTTCATTGTCGTAATCTGTATTTAAAGCCTTCTTATCCTAAAAATATGCCATTCATTCTCGCTGTAGATAGTGAATGGTAGTTTTAAGTAAAAACACGAAGGCTTCATTCAGCATCCATGCCTGCTCCTGATTTTCTACTTAAGCTAAACTTATCTAAGAAAATAGAAAAACACAGAAAAATAGGATTTTTTTATTAAAGATTTATTAGGATTTGCTTCATGACATTTGTGTAAGTTCATGTGGATTTTCCACACCAGTTTATAGATAAAATGTTTTGATTAACAGTTAAAATTGCTTTGAAAAGCCTCCCAGTGGCACAGCGGCATGTCTGCGGACTTACAACGCTAGAAACCGGGTTTCAACACCCGTGGTGGACAGAGCACAAATAGTCCATTGTGCAGCTTTGTGCTGAACTTCAAACAAACAAGTAAGGATTGTTGATGTTTTTTGTATTAAGCATAAAGCTACACAAAGGGCTATTTGTGCTCTGTCCACCACGGGTATCGAAACCCGGTTTCTAGCAGTATAAGTCCGCAGATATACCGCTGTGCCACTGGGGGGCAACAAGTAAGGAACATAAATGTAAGGTTCAAAATATACACATATATCACATTTCAAACTAAAGACAAAGAAGATAATTATTTATTCGGAAATAAAGGTGTCGGAAAGATGGTAGAATCCACTCGTCATCTTGGAGAATGAGGTTCCTTACCCCTAAATAGATCTATCTGTAAGTTTACTACACACTTACCGTTCAATTTAACTAAACAAACGAAAATATGCATCTTTAAAGCGCAGATCGACTGATCTGCGATGATGATCCAACCTCTTATAAAGTTCGGAGTGCAGTTACTTGCGGTAGATAGAGTGCAGAGAGCCCATTGTAAAAGAACAACAAATAATCTTATAAAGTCACCTTATTTTGTATACTATATTTTATATATAAGGCTCAATAACTGCAGTTTTGTGAGCTTATACTGCTACCAAAATGTTGCTTTTTTTGTCTTTTTCAGATTGTAATAGTCTTTGGTGTAGTTGGAGCTTCTGCATACTGAAAAAAACACTAACAATAAAAACTTCGTGATTGAGAAACAGTTGGTAATACCGCTTTCCGTGGCTTTTACTCTGACCGAAAGAAACAACTCGACGTTACTTTTAAACACCTTTCGTTCTTATTAGCTTTGTTGTACTTAATTGTTCGTGTGGAAGAACGTGCTTGTTTCAAGGAATGTGATTATTCCCCTTTTGTGACGGTCAGGCCGATATTTCTACGACTAATGACGTCAATAAAAGTCTCTCTTTTTTTTTTTGGCAGTATAACCCGAGACGTATGTTAAATAACTAACAAAGTTCAAAAGTTTAGTCTTTAAACATTTATACTTTAATCTCAAAAATGGAACAAAATCACCTTTTTTTTAGAAATATATCCAAAAGGAAACAAACAAACAAACAACAATGCGAAACATATATATATATATATTTCTCAAAATCTCATTAATACCAGTGACTCGTAATAATATTATGTCTTACTTCAGTGGTTTTTCTCAAGGAAGCGAGCTCATTCTAGCAAACAAGTGAAACATTCTGCTGATGATACAATGGAGTAGTATAAACCCATTTATATTTAAAATCATGAGGCAAAATTCTAGAGAAAAGTATACTGTACTACATAACTTCAGTTTCATTTTCAAGTACTGGTGAATAATGTAACAATTATTTAATTAAAGCTTGATTCTTATTGTTTAATAATATTCTAACAATTGTCTTTAAGATCATTTAACGTCCCAACATATAGAAGAATTGAACATTTACAGTTGTTTTTTTTTCACAATAAAATTTAATGAATAAAATAACGTTCTATTTTGAGGCGACGTGCTACACTAAAAATCTGGCGTAGAGGCGACGTGCTAAACTAAAAATCTGGCGTAGAAGCGACGTACTAAACTAAAAATTTGGTTTAGAGGTGACGTGCTAAACTAAAAATCTGGCTTACAGGCGACGTACTAAACTAAAAATCTGGCGTAGAGGTGACGTGCTAAACTAAAAATTTGACGGTAGAGGCGACGTGCTAAACTAAAAATCTGGTGTAGAGGCGACGTGCTAAACTAAAAATCTGGCGTACAGGTGACGTGCTAAACTAAAAATCTGGCGTACAGGTGACGTGCTAAACTAAAAATCTGGCGTACAGGTGACGTGCTAAACTAAAAATCTGG